ATTATATATATATATATATATATATATATATATATATATTTCTCAAGGTCTTATCTTACCGAGGACACCAGCCTCATACATCCTCTCTTCGTGGGATCACATGGTGACTCCTTACTACATTTCCCAGAGTCTTCCTCAACTCATAGTCCCACCTATCTTGCTTCCCTATCTGGCTTTTATATGGGTCCTGGGGATTTAAACTTAGGTCCTCAAACTTCCAAAGCAAGGATTCTTATCCATTGCGTCACCTCCCCAGGCCTGTAACACTGTAACACTGGCCTTGGTTTTAGCCTGCCTTGGGGAACCACCCCATTTGGCTGGTAGATAGCCATCTATCTAGATCTGAGAGCTACAGGAAAAAGCTAGAAGCCTGAGCAGGGCCCGGTGGGGCATGCCTATAATCTAATAGCTCAGGTGGAGCCAGGAGGATCAAAGCAGTTCAAGGTCATCCTTGGGTACATGATGAGTTCCAGGCCAGCCTGGGCCATGTGAGACCCTGTCGAAAAAGATACACAAAAAAGAAGCTGAAAGGTTCAGGCATTATGCTGGTCTGGCCCTGTTACCTGGCAGAATCCACTCAGGCAGGACCCTGGTCAGCCCAGGGTACCATGGGAACTAAGTCTGCACGCAGGTGTAGAGAACCCCTTTAAAAGACAGACCCCAGCCCACTTATGCTCTCTTTTTGCTCTCTCCTCTCTTCTCCTACTCTCATGTGTGGGGAGACACCGTAACCACGCCCCTAAGGGCTGGCTACAGGTGTGCCTGACCACGCCTCACGCCTGTTAAGGCGTGGTCAAGGTGAGGTCAGAGAGACACGCCATGGGCTCTTAAGCAACCACGAGCACATGGAAGGCTCTCTTCCCCTTCGGCTGCCCCTTCTCTCTGGCCTCCCTGCCTTGCTGCCCCTGGGCGTGCTCCGGCTTGCGTTTGGCTGGTGTTTATCTGAATGAAGAGATCTTGAATCTACAAGCTTTTTCCTTCACTCAAGCCCTCTTCTCTTTGTTCTCTTCTCTCTCTTGCCTTCCTCTCTCTCCCACTTTCTCCCTCCCCCACCTGGAATAAACTATGTATGGTTAACGTATCTCTCGTCTCACCTCTCATCTTGCACCTTTTTTAAAAAAACTTAAATAAGATCACAACAGAAGCCACACTCTAAGTGATGGGTGCTCACAGGGTGTTCACCTCCAGGCAGCCAGTGTCTCCTGTAGGCAAAGTCAAGCCAGGTGAGGCCAGGACACCTGGACATCAAGGGGGCTGACAGGAAAAAACAAGCTTACACTGGGACGGGAGTCATAGGGCCCTCAGTTTTATTTACATAGTCCTCACAGTATCTCTTCCCCTCCACTTTGGAGTTCTACTCCCAGGAGGCAAATGGGCCAGGGCCAGGCCTGGACCCTCCCATCCGCCCAGGCCAGGAGACAGCACAGCTGCTTCCATCTTGTCAGGTTTCAGCCTCATCATGAGGGCTTCCGTCTCTCAGGTGCTGGCTCCTCGGGGGAGGCTGATGGTGCTGGTAGAATACTGTTTCCCTTCTGAGTGGTCCGTCTGCAGGGCTTCTAGTGGGAGGGACGGAACTGAGGAACCCGAGGCTCTGACCAGATGGGGGGTGGGACCTGTGCTGGAAAGTCCTGGAGGGTGAATGCGGAGGTGTTGGGAGTTACTAGAGGACAGATGAATGGGAAAACATTGGGCGGTCACTCAGGGACAGGTGGGGCCCAGTATTAGCCTCCATTCCTCCTGCACCTTGGAGTGAGGGCCACCTTCCTGAGTAGAATGGGGCAGGCAGCAATGAGTTCCAAAGTTGGAGGGACACCTTGTCAGGGCCTGAGCTCCCATCTTGATAGGATCTGTCCCACCTGGACACCACCCCCCAAGGTTGGGACACACCCTGGACCCTCCCAGGAGGGATGAGCTGGTGGCTGACAGATGTCGGCGCTGGGCTCCTTCACAGGACACAGAGGACCAGAGGTCAAGACTCTTGGGTACAGAGCTTTTCTCAGACTTTGGAGGGAGGATGTCCCAGCCCAGTAGACAGTGCTGTGGAGAGCAAAGGTTAAAGGTATCTGTCATTCCCAACTATGGAAAAGGCCCCTGAGCAGCATGATGCCCTCCCTGGGGCAGCAGGTACATCCAACCATCAGTTATCCTGGGTCACCCCAATCTCAGTCCCTATTGACCTGGTCACCCTAACCCTCCCCAAGACGGGTGAGAGGCTGAGGGTAGTGATGGAGTCCTTTCCACGATGGACGTGGCCCTGAACACCTAGGTTGCATGACTTCGCTAAACCACCCTTGAGACCCTGATACGGGATGTCTTTCTGGGCGCTGTCAATATGTTTCTCTTATTGGTTGATGAATAAATGTTGATTGGCCGTAGTGGCGGGACTACCAGACTAGGAGAATTCTGGGAAGGGTAAAGGCAGAGAAACAGTCGACAGGGAGATGCCATGTAGCCACCAGGAAGGTAGGACACTGGGATATTCTCTGGTAAACCAGGGCCACATGGAGATACATAGATGAACAAAAATGGGTTAATAATTAAGAGCTAGCCAATAAGAAGCCTTCACCATCGGCCAAACAGTTTACAATTAATATAAGCCTCTGTGTGTTTATTTGGGGCCAAACAGCAGCAGGCCTCTGTGGGACAGAAATTCCATCTTCATCTTCAAGACTCCAACACGGAGGAAGTTCCCTTTCTATCCACTTTATAGAGGAGCCAGAGGGTCTTTCCCCCTTCTCTTGTCCTAGTTGCAGCTACTCTGTCCTTCACCCGGTATGAGCAGGACGCCCTTTGACTTCCATCCTGACTAGGAATGACACACAATGGAAACATAAAAGTCTGGGTTCAAATCCATCTCTCCTACCAGCTCTACTCTGCCTCTGTGGCCTGTGTGGGGGTGGGCTAAGACAGTGGTTGCTGTGGCTCTGGGAAACAGCCCTCCTAAGAGCCATGCATGTGGTACCCAAGAGCTCAGTGAATAGGGCCCATATAGACACCCATCTCAGACAACATGTGGGGGACAGGCTCTACACCATCCCAGGTGAGGCCAGAGGCCCTTGCTGGCATTCAAGAGCCTTGGAGCAAGCTCTCTTCCATGCTAGCTCAGGAACCTGCCCACACATGCCTGCCTCTGGCCTCTTCAGGCAGGCAGCTTACCTGAGGGAGAGCCAGAGTGTCAGATGCATCAAAGCTTTTCCGTCTATGAATCCGATACTGATGTGGTGGGTCCAGAATGGATAGTGGGATGCTCACCCTGTGCAAGGGGCACAGTATTAAAATCAGCGGGGGCCACGTTCTGCACCCTACCCTAGTTGCAACTGTCCACTGGGACCTCTCAGGAATTCCAGTGCACCCACCTGACTTGCGAGGGCTCCGCCAGAGTCTCAGGGCCCTGTTGGTCTCGAGATATCCCACACAGGCGGCAAGTGGTACCCAGATCCACTGGCACTGGAAACAAGCGCCGGTTGACACGGTAACAGTACACACCTGTGAGGCCCATGATAGCACAGTTCCCCCTAAGCCAGGGAATTTGCTGCCAGGGCCTCTGGCTGTCCCTAGTCACACAAGCCATGCCATCCATTGAGGAGTCACACTGTGCTACTTTTCTCCCCCAGGCCCTTCCCTCCCAAAGTCTTGGGTCCACACCTAGGTTCAGGGGAAACGTCCTCTCCTGGGGCACTGGGAGCTACACCCGGCCATCTCTGAAAGCTGCTACAGAGAGGTGGTTACAAAGGGCAGGACCGAAACCAGCCAGAGCCCCAGGCCAGAGTGGATCCCACACTGCTCAGACACCAGGCTGCCCTCCCCGAGTCGCCAGCTCAGAGTGACCTGGTGGAAGTACACACTCACACTCGTGGTCCCCTTCCACACAGCTGCTCTCCTGCAGGCCTGGGAACACAGCTCTGGGGGGAGGGGGTGGGGAGAAGATGAGCAGGATGAGTGACAGAGTCCCCTAACCACCCTCTGCTCTCCTCATGCACCCCTGCTTACTCAGGGGAGTCGCAAATGCAGTCCTCTTTGTTGGTTTCTCGAAACCTCTGAAGCTCAGAGAAGAAGGCATCCGGTTTACTGGTGACTGGAGAGTTACTGTCCAGGGACCCTGGGGTGGGTGGGCAAAGCACCGGTGGGTGAGTTAAGGCTACATGGACTGGGGCCCCACCTCACCCCTAGGACTCTTCACCCACTGTGAGAGCCAGCTCTGTTTGAGCACCAGCCTGCCCTGATATAGTCAGCCATCCACAGACAACTCTCTCGTAGAGCCCTTAAGAGGGGCCCCATACTCTTCTTATTTTATTATAGCGACAGGAGCTATGTATGCCTGGCTGGTCTGGAATTCCATATACGGACCACACTGGCCTTGAACTCACAGAGACTGGACTGCCTCTGCCTCTTGAGGGCTGGGATTAAAGGCATGCACCTCTATGCCCTGCTTACTTTTTTTTTGCTCTGCTTACTTTTTTTTTTTTAGAGACAAGGTCTCATGTAGCCTAGGCTGGCCTCCAACTCAACACTGTAAGCGTGTACCTGGTTTACATTCTTTCATTTTTAAAGATTTATTCATTTATTATGTATACAATGTTCTGCCTGCATGTATGTCTACCCAACAGAAGAGGGCACCAGATCTCATTACGGATGTTGTGAGCCACCATGTGGTCAATTTCAAATCCCAGCTCCCCCTTTCTCCTACTCCCCACCTCCACCCATCCTACCGGTGAGCTTAACCTCTGAGCCATCTCCCTAGCCCCTGGCTTACATTCTTACTAGCTAGAGAAGAGCAGGAAACTAGACAAAGTTCTCACTCTGAGGGGGCTATATTCTAAAGGGATGAAAGACTAATTAGTCACCAAGGACTGTGATTCAATACTGAATGGAGACACCTGCTGGGAAGCTGGAGACCAAAGCCTGGTAGCTTGGTGCCACAGGACAGAGGTTCCAAGGGAGGTCTGAGAAGGTGACCAGAGTAGAGACCAAGGAAGTCACGTGGACAAATCAAAAGGATACCCAGGGGTGGTGGCGCACACCTTTAATCCCAGCACTAGGGAGGCAGAAGCAGGCGATCTCAGAGTTGCAGGACAGCCTGGTCTACAGAGTAAATTTCAGGACAGCCAGGGGTACACAGAGAAACCCCGTCTCAGAAAACGAACAAAACAAGCAAAAAGAGCACTGGCTGCTCTTGCAGAGATTCAGTTCCCATCTCCCACAGCATGGCTCACAACCATCTATAACTCCAATTCTGGGCTCTGATGCCCGCTTCTGGCCTCCACAAGTATCAGGCACGCACACACACAGACATACACACAGGTAAACACACACACACTCACAAATCAATAGTTAAAATTAAAAACAAAAAGTTAAACTGGCAACATTTCTGCTGTGTGCGTTTTAGCACTCAGTTGACAGTAATGAGGCAGAAGAGGTTGGCGGAGGACAGGAGCCCTGAGATGCCAGGAGAAGGGCAGTCGAGTGGAGATGCTCCCACCAGTGCTGGGCAGGGGCCTGGCCTCTATAAACACTGAAATATGGAGCAGCCCTGCTTCGCCCACTCACTCAGCTTCATGTGTGTCCAAGCTGAGATTAATCCAACCCCGTCCCTCACCTGCAATCCAATCATAGCCCAGGTATGGCAGGAAACGCCGGCTGCTCTCAGGCATTACAGACTCTTGGGAGAAGGTCACTTTGGGCTGAGGAAGTAGACAAGGAGGACAAGGCTAGATCAGCAGGCCTGGCCCAGAGTGGCCCCATTTCAGGGGAACAGCACACTGTGTCTTGACTTAGATTCCAGGTTGACGCTGACCTCAGCTGGAGAGCTCAGAAACGAGAAGGTAAGTCTGGCCCACTTTGGGTATGACTGTGAACAAGCCTCAGTCTTTCCACCAGCATAACATGGCTTACCTCTTTCTTCCCAAAGCACTAAGAACTAAGAACAATAACTAGACACACCTCACTGGACCTTCTAGAAGCCTCACCCCCTACAAGGGAGGCTTGTCCAAGAACAATTTGTCCAGACAGGGCAACTGAGGCTCAAAAAGGTCCCCATGATTTCCAGGCGCTCCTGAGTTACCTTAGATGGCTTGCTTGGTCTTGACAGGACAGACTTTGGGACCTGTGTCTTTTGCGGTCCCATACCTTTCGGTGGCCCCTTCACAGCTTCAGGGGCTAGCAAGGGTACTGAGGGGGGCCACAGTCCATTCTGGGGCTCTGGGTGTTGGCACGTGGCAGGTGGGATAGAGTTCACCCTGGAGTTCTCCTTGTCATACCAAGATGTATCAGCTGTGTTTCCTCGATGATTGTCCAGTGAGTTCCACACGTGTCTTTTGTCCTGTGAGCTTGGGGCCACTGAGGAGGTGCAAGAACTCTCTTGGGACAGTGAAATCTCTAAGTTGCTGCTGTTGCTACAGTCCTGTTTTGGCTGCAAGAAACAGGTCAGGTTACCCAAGCAGTAGCCTGGCCAGTGTCTAACCACTCTTGCTTGCTCTGAACACATAGGTCTTTGTCCTGCTGTCGTCTCTGGGTGTCCCAGCCCAGTCCCTTCCTCCGAAGGCCTCAGTTTTGCAACATTGGCAAAAATGGGTGCATTGGATAAGGCTGACCCTGGAAGTTTGGGCATAGTCACATGGGGTAGGCAGTCTTTTCCTCGACACCCGGGCATTACCAAGGAGGCCACCCACCTCTGACACGGCTCTGGCCACTGACCGGCACATGGCATCATGCCCAGCCCACAGCTGTTTCAGCAGCTCCAGGCTGAGCAGCCTAAGTTGGATGGGGTCCTTAGTCTCTGCCATCTTGGGCCTGGGTCACGGCTTTTCACAGCAATGTCACTGGCCTTGGGCTGCAGGATACTCACAGGAAGTGCTCGGGCTAGGTTTTACCTGAAGTCAAAGCATCAATGACAAAAGATGAGGGAGGGAACCTGTCACACAGGCCTGAATATAAACCGTCACCAGGTTACTTAACCTCTGTGTGCCTCTTGTCCTAAGCTACTAAATAGGGTAGCAGAGAGTTTACCCTACCATGCTGCCACTCAGAGCAACACAGGACAGTGCACATTAAACCATCAGGATAGCATGCTACAAATGTTCATTACTGCTAAGCCAGCCAGAATGCCTGGAATGTCTCCAGCATTCTTAATTACAATCTGCTTTTTGTGCCAACTGTGCTATTTCTTTTCCCCAAAGACCACATCTCAGGATGGTGTGGAGGGCTGTTTTTGAATGGATATGGACAACAGAAAACGCTTTCCTGCCCAGAGACTAAGACTGCCATTGGGCCTTCCTTGTGTAATCTTGTTCCTGGGGCCTGGGAGATGGCTCAGTGGGTAAAGGTGCTTGTGGCCAGCCTGACAATGTGAGTTCAATCTTCAGGAGAGAACTACTCCCACGAATTGTCTTCTGACCTCCCTCCATCCGTGGGTCGTGGCATGCCCTTGCCCATACCCACACACAAATAAAAAATGTTTTTAAATTTAATAGGATTCCTTTATCATACAGAAAGAGGCTAGTACAGAGTGCTAATTCAAAATTAATAACTTGTGTAATCTGGTGCTGGCACTGAACCCAGGACCTGCAGCATTAAGCCTGTTCTCTGACACAAAGCTGCCCCCAGTCAATTTGTTTTTGTGTGCGCACACATGTTCCCTAAGGCCACATCGCTAGTGAGTGTCAAAGAAGGTTTGAACTAAAATGTAAGTTTCTGGTTGTTGTGCAGCGGCTACTCCCTCTGACATTCAAGCATCTCCCTCGTGTGTGGTGGGAGGAGAGAGTTTCCTCGGAAAGTTGCAAGATTTTATGGTCTAGACAGTGCTAAAGACAGAAGACTCGGGAGCGGAGCCACCTGCACGCTGTACAGGGGTGAATCAGAACTCATGCTAAGTGAGTCTGTCAATGAAGCAGCCGCTTGCCTTTGGGTCAAATAAGTTCCCGAAGTGACCCCAATACACTCATTGGTTCACCCATGGGGGAATCATTTCTCTGCTCTCTTGGCTGTGCTCTGGGGCAAATAGACCTTTCTTGGCATATGACTGCCGAGTAAGGGTCGGTCTGCACTTAGGAAAGCCTGGCCCTGACAGGGTTAGTGGGATCCTGGGAAACCTCCCCCTTCTCGAGTCAGCTTTGATCCTTCAACTCGGGGACACCACTTTGCTTCTGCAGTGTAGGGAAGCGCTTCCCACTTCTTTTACAACCACAGGTCCAGACTCCTCCACCAGCACCAGAGCTTTAACTCCGGGTTGGGTCAGAACCCCTGCTTGTCCTAGCTCTGCCACCCGACACGCCCCTGGGGACTCGGGACTCCATGCAGTCTGCAGGGGACGAGCAGAGAAGCAGACCCCAGCCTCTCACTCACCCAAGCAGGGTGCCCATCGGGCCTGGGCGCTTGCCCCTTCTCTACCTGGCTTAGCCGGGCGTAGGAACATCCCTCTGGTCCCAAGATCAGTGGCCACTGCGGATGAAAGCATTCAGACGTTCTCCACCCGGAAGCCTAGGGCCCCAGCAGCCCGGGGCTCCGCCTCCTTTGGGCGGGGCCTCCGCCAGCTGTCCTGATTGGCCAATTGGCGGAGCGGGCCGCCAGACAAACGTTATTTCGCATCCGGAAGCGGCAGTTTCAATTTGGGGGTGGGGCTAATGGCCCCTCACTGCTGATTTGTTAATTCATAATGTCAAGTCTGCCAACTCGAATTTTACTGAATGGAAAGACCAGAACTACAGGTTGCGATTGGCCAGTGTGGCCCCGTACGTAATTTCCGGATGATTGTGAAGCTGCGAGTGGCTGCGGATGGGCGGGACAAGCGATGAGGGCAAAGAATTCCATCGGTCAAGCTTCAAAGTTGGGCTTGCTTCAGACTACAGGCTGCTCTGGGTTGGTGGGAGGCGGGGTGGGTTACAGGCCTGCCCAAAACGGCCCGCGTTCTTTAACACGTCAAGTCTTTGTGAAGTGCCTACTTTGTGCCAGAGATATTGGAAGACAAGGATGTAAACGAGTGGGGACCGAGGGAGAGAACTCACTGGCAAAATTACAACATAGATACCAAAGTCTGGTTCTGTAAAACTAAACCAAAATTAGCGGGACATGTTGACGCATTCCTTTAATCCCAGCACTCGGGGAGGCAGAGGCAGGAGGATCTCCGAGTTTGAGGTAAATTCCAGCCCAGGATACAGGGAGAAACACTATCTCAAAAAAAAAAAAAAAAAAAAAAGATTTAAGCCAAAGTTTAATGTAGCTCAGACTGGCCTCTAACTCGATGTCATGAGGATGACCTTGACTGCGTTCTAACCTGCAGCCTCTGTCCCCGCTAATAATGGGATTATAAGAATATTCCAACATACAGTTCGTGTGGTGCTGGGGACTGAACCCGAAGTTCTGTGCATGGAAGTGTGTTACCTTAGTGTTTTAAATGCCCCAGGCTATTAGCTGTTCTCCTCTCTCCCTGTCACAGAGTCAGAAGGCCAGCCTGCCCCAGGAAAGGGTCTCGGAGGAGGACCCTTGAAATAAGCATCCTGGAATTTAGTGTAAGGGGCCTGTTTTGCCCTCACTATCTTCATTCAGTAAGCACACTTTACTATTGTATGTGCCTAATCTGTGCCGGGTATGGCGCAGTGAGCAGGATGAAGTCCTCGGCAAGAGCATTACAGTCGATACAATTCCATGGGCGCACTAAGGCACACCTGCAACCCCAGCTCTCAGTAGGCAAGGGGCAGGTAGGAGCTCAAGACCAGCTTGGTCTACATAATGAGCTCCAGGACAGCCAGGGCTACGTAGTGAGATCCTGTCTCAACAGAAACAACACAATTTGTGGTGTCCAACAGACAAGATGTCAAAGCCGAATCATCTCCGTAGACAGAAAACCCAATAAGCCTGGTCCTTTTCTTAGGGGTTGGACATGGGAGGCATCCTGATTTTTTCTCTTGGGGTCTTGTAGCATTTGAGAAAGTCCAGTCTATTATCTGGGTATGGCGGCACATACTTTTAATTCAGGGCTCCAGAGGCAGGGTCTTTGTGAGTTCGAGTCCTGCTGGGCTATATAATGAGTTCCAGGCCAGCAGGGGCTACAAAGTGAGACTCTGGCTTAAAGCAAAAACAAAGACAAATGGCTAGCTGTGCTGTGGTGCCCCTCCCCCCTTGATCAAGAGGCAGGGACAAGCCAATCTGGTTCAAGGCTAACCTGGCCTACAGAGTGAGTTCCAGACAGCCAGGGCTACACAGAGAAACTGTCTTGAAAAACAAAACAAAACAACAACAAAAAATGGCTCTCTCCACCATGTGGAGCCTGAGGTTCATTAGGGTTGGTGACAAATTTGCCTTCCCCCTGCTGACTAGCCCTGTAATACAACCCAAATTTTTAAGTGTTCCAACATTTAAAACAGACAATCAACAGAGAGAGAGAGAGAGAGAGAGAGAGAGAGAGAGAGAGAGAGGAACTCATAAAAAGGGGGTAAGGGAAAGAAAAGACAAAAGAAAAAGATCTGAAGGTTACCTACTAGAGAAACATCTGCATCCCTGTTAGAGGCGGGTGGACAGAGGGTTGACAGGTGGGGCAGCGACTGATCAGAGGAAGAGCCGCCCTCAGTGAGGGCAGCACCTTTTTACTGGCGGCAAAGACAAGGTCAAGTCAGAGGGGAAAACTGCTTTGCCATCATCGCTGTCTTCTCTGACCTCTTTGACCTTTCAACGTGGCCTCCACACCAACAATTCCCTAGGGTGCTTTTAGGCTCCTGCAGCGAAGACTTAGAATTTAGATCTGAGGCTTGTAGGACTGAGCAGCCAGGTTCTAGAGAGACATGGATGACTTTTTCCTTCGTGTGCTTGGTGGTATCTGGAGCTGGCTCTTCAAACCTGAAGTTGCCAATGACTCTCCTGGTAGTGCAGAGAACACTAATGGTGTGAGCTGCTGAAAAGATAAATGTGGCTGACTGACCCCACCCCCGACATTCATGCTTTCTGAGCAGGAAGGGACTCAGTGACTCTAGCTATATACTTTGGAACATTTCTGGAAGATTAGGGAATTAGATGCAGTTGTTAAGCTGCTTTTGGCATCTCTGCATAAAGTAACAAAGGGAGGAGACCAACTTAGCGATGACATTTCCCAGCCCTGGATGCACACTAAAGATCTAAAGGTTTCAAGTGTGTCCTGGGAGAGTTGTGAGATTAGCTGATTACAGTTGGAGGTCAAGTGTCAGCCACCTCGTAAGTGGCCAAGAGTGGGGTCCTGTAATGGGATGGAGATGTGTGGGAGGATGCTGGTTCTGATGGAACTGAGAAAGCAGGCTTGCCCACTGTAGTGTTGGCCTCTCCACCCTTGTCTGAGGGGGAGGGGTGTTCTGTCTTGTCTAAAGGGCATGCCAAGCAGGACAAAGTCCTCAGAACCAGTCCTCACCACCCTTAGTTACTTCTGAATCTGTGACCAGACCCAAGTCTGTCTATCCCTACAAGTCAGAAACGCTACTCTCCCTAAGAACTCGAACTGCTTGCTTATGCAAATAGTCAAAGGAAAGAGCATGTATGGGGATGGATTTTAAGGTGGGAGGATCACAATACTGGATCAGACTGAATTCATCGGTTTAGGTTTAATGTTTTTGTTTAACATCATAGCTCACACTGTAGAAGAAAATGGTGTCAAGAGTTTGCTTGGTTGCCTGAAGCAAGGGTCCAAAGATGACCTACTATGACAAAGCTGCCGATGCCTGATGTCCTGTGGTGGTACTCTATTAATGATGGGATTTAAAAAATTAGGGAACTCGGAATGGTGGAGTGGTCTTTGTGTAAAAGTTACTTGTGCAATGGAGGGGCCCAGAGGATGTACCCATCGCTAGACCTATGTGTTATGGTGGAAACTTCATCCGAGGCCCTGGCATCATATACCCAAAGTGTCTGGGATGTTATTGTGGAATTCTACCCGAGCCCCTCCTGTATCTCCCTCTAAACTCTGCTGCATCTCAGAAAGCCCAGCAAATGATGGCCCCTCCCCCAGAGATGATCAAGACCACTCCCACAGGGTATTTAAACTGTCCCCCCCCCCTCCGAAAACATATGTGTGGGTTTCCTTTCTTCCTTTCCCGTCTCCTCTAAGAGGGGCTAGAAGGCCACCGGGGAGCGTTGCATCCATTAAACGTGGGCTTTTTCTAATTTGGTTTGATTTGGGTTGCTGCATCAATGAAGAGACTTTTTGGGGTGTAGAAACTTTTTACTATGAGGTTACATTTTGTCAGTGGAACAACAGAGAACTAGAAGAGCTCTGTGTACAGAACCTAACAGTGGGAGCCACTATGCCCAGCTGATTGAATATACTCTTAAAAATGAACTTGTCTGACTTTAGCAAGAACCGATAACCCTAGCACTAGGATGGCTAAGGCAGAATTTTAAGGTTGAGGACAGCTTGGGCTACACAGAGAGAGCTTGTCTCAAAAATATGGTGGGGCCTAGGAGATGGCTCAGGTCAATCTCTTTAGCTGTGAAACTTGAGGACTCTGGGTCCAGTCAGTAGGAGCCATATAAAAGCTACACATGGCACACCTCTGAAACCCTAGCACCCTTCGGGGAAGACTGGGGGAGGGCGGGTGGAGACAGAATGGCCTGTAAACTCTCTGGCCAGTCTGGAGCATGTTTGGAAGCAAAGAGGCACCCTGCCTCAATAAGGTGGGGGTGGGGGGGGAGTGGTAAGAACAGACTTGTGACCTCCATATGCATGATACGGTTCACCAATGTGTGGACGTGCACAGTTTCCAAGAGAGGTGTCCTGGGGATGTAGCACAGATGGCGGAGTGCTGTGTAGAGGGCACACATCCCTGGGATGCTCACCTTTAATCCCAGCACTCAGAAGGCAGAGGCAGGTGGGATCTCTGTGAGTTCAAGGGTAGCCTGGTCTACTACAGGATAACAAGGCCACATGAGAAGGAAAAAAAAGGGGGGGGGTAGAGAGATGGCTCAGTGTTGACTTTGCTGCATAATCATGACAACTGGGTTTTTGGATCCCAGAGTCTACATAGCCCCCCCCCCCCTCATACACACACACACACACACACACAGGATTTCTCTGTATAGCCAACTGCCCTGGAACTCACTCTGTAGGCCAGGCTGGCCTCAAACTCACAGAGATCCTCCTGCCTCTGCCTCCTGAGTGCTGGGATTAAAGGCGTGTGCCACCACTGCCTGGTCTAGAACACCTTTCCTTGTGCACTGCCACCTAATGGGTGATTAGCAGCAGCTTGCTAGTGACAGAAGCTCCCACCCTGAGTGCATGCCCTTGGGAAACTTCATTTCAGGTACACATGCACTAGACTGCGGTGTTTCTAGTGGAGGGGAGAGTAGAGGGCACACTTGAAGCTGACAGGCTTGGGGAAAATCAGGTTTGGGCTCAAAAGTAGGCTTCCCCCTCCCTTCCCTCCCCAATCAGCCCAAGACACTAGGACATCATCAGCTAGTCTTACTTCTCTGAACTTTGGTTCCCACAAAGGGGCTGAACAAGCTGAATTCTTAGCATACACATCTGAATGTCCTAGAACTG